TCACAACATACCTCTTTAGATAATACCTTACAGATTGACCATGCATATAGTTTAGGTTTTATGTATTACATATTTATATAGTTTAGGTTTTTTTGTATTACAGATTTAATTCACATGTAAAAATAAATAAATACATAAATACATTTTTAAAAAACATGAATTATCAATAATATGTCAAAAGGCCAAAATACAAAATTGAAGACTTACAGTGACATTTGTCGCGATCTACCTGGTAGAAGGTCGCACAGAAAAGTCCCATCTGAATGCATGATAATGGTGCCAGATCCCGTTGTCTTTTCTGGACACATTCATCAATAGGGGGGAATGATGGAGCTGGAAGGGACGCAGCCAGAAAAGGGTAGAAATCCATTTCGGTATAAAATCAAATCTAGCAAGTGACATTTGTGATGAGTTTGGGGCTCTGCTTCCACTGCTGCTTGTAGCCCTCTACACTGTCTAAACTGCTGCAACATATATTTATTCTAGGGGACACGTTTGCTGTTTGAGATATTAAACAAAGTAAAGTTTATTTAACGTGTTTGATCATCGCAGATTTAGCAGATCGTCTCAGGGATGGTCAATAAATTGGGCCTTAGGAAAACAAGGTATTCTGAGACAGAATGAAGCTCTGGCTTTAGTTTGTACAATCCTGGCGCATGTACACAAAGCAAGGCATATAGATGGAAAGGATTATATCTAAATATTTGTGCCTCCCTATTTATAGACAAGCACATACATATTACATAGGAACACACATTGCTAAGTGCACATTTGTGTGTAAGACACAGAACAAAATCCAAAAACAAATAATAGCTCATTATAATATTATACAAACTATAGAAATTAAATTATACAGAAACAGCATTCACTTAAATGTCATTATTTTTATTGCACTGTGAATGTTAAAAAGAAACTTATCAGAATGTCTTCCTTTCTTATGAATGCAGATAAATATTATTTTATTTGCTATTATGTTTTCCTTTTAAGAGTATGGCCTTTTTAAAATTTGATTATTGAATATACCAGTATATTAGCCTATGTGCTTTCTAACAGGTTGCTGAAGATCTGGGGAGTGAGGGAGAGGTGTAGTATGGCTATAGCTAGACCTGGAAGCCAGACCTATATGTGTAGTATACAGGTGAGTGGGAATTGCTGGGAGGAGAGCTCCCCCTCTTGGTAGTCTCAGGTAATTCTACCTTCAGTTAATAACACAGATAGGTCAGGCTGTACTATCTGCAGGATGTGCTACACAAGTTGTACAATATTATTTAGTGATACAGAGCTTTGTGTAATCATCACCAAACACATAGTAAAAAAAACTATCTCTACATGCCCAGTTTATAAATGATAATTTGCTGATCGTGTTGAGATCATTTTTAAGAAGAATGTTTGGAATTTCATTTCTGGTGGTACAATAAAACAAGGTTGGAGCACAGATGGCGTATTGTTGTATGTCACCAGACATTCCCAGAAGGGACCACTATACATATTTTGTGACCTGACCTTTGGTGCAAGTTGTCTTTAAAGGCGTGTCATGATGGGTCCTTTTCAGGCTGCACATGCCTTCCATGGACCAATTCATTCCTATGTGGAGGGTCTTATTCCGTTGGACCACTGGAGACCCAATGTGTACAACTCCCCACATGAGGCTGCAGCACACATGTGCAGGATGAGGAGGACCTGGAAGGGAGGCTTTTGGAACAAAGGCTGTGTAGTTCCCAGCAGTAATGTACAGTCAAGATAATTGGAATTGGCATAGCAGTAAGTATTGGACTCAGGTGAAGGCATGGCTTAAAGAGCAATTTGTGCCAAAGGTACAGTTGTCCTTTAGTAAGATATTGGTTTCCCCTGTCATCTTCTCTGGTCAAGACACATTAGCAAGTTATCATCCTCAGATAATAGTTTCAGGAAAAATAAAGTAAAAGGAAGGGTTTTTGGAGGGGTGTAAATGACCGTCCAAGAGAGATATGTTAAAATATAAGTTCAAAATTTATTATATTAAATATTATTACATTCATGATTGAAAACAAACATAATAGAACAAAACAGATCCCTGCAGAGGATATGTTTATAAATACATGGCTTATATGTTACTAAAATTCATATGGTCCAACATATCATGAAATTATTCATTATTATCCAAGTGTGGTTACATTCATGTATAACAAAATATTGTCCTAGGCGTAGCTTATCTTAATAGGCCCCGACGCGTTTCGCCATTGGCTTCATCAGGGGACCCACTGAAGATGGACCATGCAGGGCTGATTTGCGATATGCAGGAGAAGTATCCAGAAAGCGCAAAGTGGGGGGGGCGCGAGCGGCGGGTGACCCCACCGTTAGCTCCACAACCTCCCTGGTTTGTCATGCCTGGGACCCCGGGGTCATATAGGGAGAGAGAGACACATGGCACCAAATCGTCCAGCCACAGTCACCGGAAGTGTTTGTTCTGAGGCTGACCATGCGCCTCTGTGGTGATCTCCGCTAGGCCTATTTATAAAGGTGCAATCTGCCAAATGTGCCTGGATTTTATTAGCATATTATTGTAGGTATTTTGTCTGATCAATATATCACTCTTTGCAGTGTCTGTATTGCTGTTACAGAGTCTGCTGATTTATGAAGTATTTTGGCATTGTTTCACCTAATACTCCATATTTATAGAGTGGTGTAAAGGTGACGTTGGTGTACTTTTGCCTGCATTTATAATGGAGAGGGGATTTTGCTATTTACTCTCAGCTATACTCTGCGAGGTTACTCCACGCTGCGGCCCATTTGTAAAATGGTAATTTTAACAACAATGAATGTTATATGAAAGAAGTAGAAATGACTTTATAAAAGAAGGATCATATTTTTTTCCATTGAAAAAGGCAAAAAATAAAATATGCAATCAAATATGCATTGAAAAAAGCAAATATTTTCAAACACATAGCTGTGAATGCACCCCCTAGGTGGCCACATATGTTACAATCTGATCACGCAGCCTTTATATAATCTTTTTTAGGCTCACTAAATGTATGTAGTATGAGGGCCTACCTAAGGAATCCATTCAATGTGTATCCAGTCAGACTGGTATTTGCGCTACATAGTGGTTTGCAGTTCTGAAGGTTATTATTGTACAATCAGATTGTAATGTGCATGACCAGCATAAGGCTTTTACCCAAATCTGCTGTTTTTGGTTGATCAGAAACCATTGTTATCCCCTGGCTAGGTTTTCTCAGAAAATAATCAAATGGCTTGGATAGATTTTCCTACCAGATGCTATTGTTTCTTCTCAACCTTCTCCATAGGCTTAAATGTGTAAGTTTGCATGTATGTAGAGGGATCGTTCCTTAAAATTCTTGTTGAGCGGTCAGATCACTTATGTATGGTCAACTGTCATTGAATGCTTGTACATACATAATGTAAGCTGATCCAAGGGAAAACCTTTTAAAGCACAATGCCGTCTGTTTTAATGGGACATATTGTTTCCTGATCTTTAAAAGCAGTCAGATTAATCTCTGGATCAGCATTCTGCTTTATAGTTTTACAGATATGAAGTAACCCTTTTGTGAATTAACTTCTGATTCTGCAAGGATAATTTCCAGCAGAACCAGTATCCAAACAGAATCTAACAAACAACTGTTTGAACCAATCCTAATGAACAAAATATAGCAGTTCACTTTACATACAAAAAAGAAGAAAAATCTAAACAAACAGAACTTTTTTTCCAAAACCTGATTATATGGTTGAAGTTTACGAGGCCAATGTGAAATTACCCATTTAGTAAATCCCATCGGTAGCAATGGAAGATAAGATATTAAAATATATTAATGTGATAAGAAGTGATAGAAAAAAGTGAAGAGAGAGAGATGGGGAGACAGAGGAGAAAGACACAGAAGACAGTGCAAGAGGGAGAAAAAGATGTGCAGAGGGAAAGCCAGAAAAAGGGTGCCAGGAGGGGTAAAAGAGAGAGAAGAAGGGGGAAAAGAGAGTTTAAGAGGAAAAGGGAGAGG